AGAAACAGATCCCAAAACCCCTAATAGGACCTCAGCACCAAGCCATTAAGAAACTCTTTAAAGTTTTAAGTGACCTGAAAATGATCCCAACCACACTTAAAGATCCACATCTTGTGACCTGAAATGTTTGCTGCAATTAATGCTCATTTTGACCTGTCGTTCACATTTTGAGAAATTACAAGGACATTTCTACATGTACATACTTCATTTAATTAAAGGGGTGTGTAATATAGTCTTTATATATGGCACTTTATGCAGGATTGGTTGGTTAATGTAAAAATGTTTTTAGTTTTTTGACTCATCTCTGTACAGAAAGGTTGGATGGGCATGGAAATGTGTTGTTTTTACAGTAACAGGTTGCATGTTTTTACTTTGTGATAATAACATTCCACACATGTAAACGTCAATATTTTTGACACTGTTCCAAGTTAGATCGATAGAACAAAGAGATTAAAAATAACCCAATGTAATCCTCTGGATCTGGAAGTATGCACTAATTGGAAATATGTCTTGACATGTCTTCACTGTCAGGAATACAAACATCACGTGAAAATCAGTCATCCTTTAACAACAGGGAAATTCCATTACCAAAACTCAGTGGCTCGCTTCAAATACTATGATAACAAAAGTTTGAGGTGCAATTTTTTGGTCTGAATGTGGCAAGTGTTTATGAGCGTACATGCATAGCTTAAAGGTCAAATTCTGAAATGTAAATCATTTCACTTCCTCATTTTCTCTGCCTGTTAACAACTCCATTATTAAAACCTTTGATTTAGAGAAGTTTGAATTGCTTTTCTACCTGTTGTCAATCTCTCTGAACCAACCTTATAATTGCAGAGGGAAGTTACTTAAATAATTCAGAATTTTGATCATCTGTGCTCATTCTTGACGTTTAAGTGACTATTTGCCTGTCATGCTGAATTAGCCAGAGCATTTTATTAGCTTTTCTCCTTACCACATTTGTATGCAAGAGATTGGTGACTTAAAACAGCATCATCGTAAAGTGACATCATTAAGTACATGTAGCAACATCTCACTCCATCCATTTCCAACATGCGTTCCCTCAAGGAAACAGCCTAAATTAAAATGATAGATGTAATATGTGAGTCTGTAGAAATGGCAGCTGAAGTGCAATGTTCCCTTTAAGGCAGATCAGAGTTTTTGTAATTCTAACAGTAAAAGACAAAGCTAGCTGAGCTGAAGGCGGATAACAAAGTGAGGATTATATTCTCCAAGATAAGGCAGTTTCTGCAAACAATAATTATTGTAAAAATGGATAAGCAACCAGGATAAGACATAATTAAAGTTTTTGAAAAGCGTTCTCTGGTTGAAATGCTTTGAAATTATGAGCTTTCGAATGCCAGTCTGCAATCTTTGACAAATATTATTTGACAACTATTATTTGTCAAAGACTGCAAACTGGCAATTGAAAGCTTGTCATTCTAGTGTATTTCAACCAGAGAATATTTTAAAAAAGAATTTAATTATCACTTTTTTGAAACAAACTTTCTCTGGTTACTGTTAGTGTCTAAAATAGTTCTTTGGGACAAAGTGACTTGTCACTAACACAGAGTCTATATTAAGGGCAGGTCAGTTATGATCCCAGAGAGAAAGTATTGAAAAATACAGTTACTGTATTCACTTTAGCAACTGTATAATTATTTTAATTTTATACCTCCAGATAGCTTTATAATGTATGCACACCTAGAATTTCCCCTTGCTTGTCTGTATTGAAGATATTCAGCCGTATATAATAAATGGCATGAAACAACATGCGTTAATTTGTTTCTTAGAACGTGACAAGGTGCGGCGGCAGTTCAAGATTTTCAGAGAGTCTAAGGAGCGCGAGATACAAGATGTGTTACAGGCCAAACGTGAGGTTGAGTTACAGTTCCAACATTACTTGTCGGTTGTGTCTCATGATGAAAACAGATCTGAAGTGGTGGGTAATGGTAACATGCATGTAGACTGGTGGGCTCCATCTCTGGAGAGTGATGCATATGCAAGTGTTGACAGTTTGACGCAGGTGACATCATTTCGAGGACCGGAGTTCTTTCACAGTCCATTGGAGAGAGAAGGCCCTTTCACAAACATCAGTAGAGGTACCATGTATCAGTTGATATGTTTGATCACCTATTGATCCTGTGCATGTTCAAAAGAACAATAGTTAGTCTGTTAGTAGCTTTTGTCTCTGTCAAATATTGATTCGCTGCTGTGTTTACAATTTTCAGCTTTTTCCAAAATTCATGTTAATGCTATTGCTACTGAACACTAACATCACTCTGGTACCACTAACAGGGCTATCATTAAGTTTGAGTCATCTGTAGCCTTGCTCTTCACACCTGTAACAGCCTTGTTTCCTTTTGAGTGAATTGTATCATCTAGAGGCAAGTTTACCCTTAACATATAGGGCCAATCACACATACTTGGCTGCAGCAGGCAGCTTGGGTTATAGCCCCCCCTATTGACAACCCTGACTAAAAATTTGATAAAGAAACAAACAGATTTTTTTTTTATAATTTCACCAATTTCACTCAATTCATATAATTGAAGTCAGTCTCAATATATTTCAAAGATATGGCATTTCAATGACAGCATTTAACTCAAGTTTAGTTAAAGCACTGGGTTCACTCATTTGTTAAATTTAGACGACTGGAATGCGGTGGTACCATCAGTTCTTCAGCTTGTGTCATCGAGCCTTCAGGCTCCAGTTCAACAACAAACCATCCGAGTGTATGTGTCGGCACCCAGTAGCATGCAGAGGGAAGTTGACCTTCTGAAGCAGGTAATTAAGGTCCACTTAAGGAATAGCAACTTGTTCATTATCAAGCCCAGATGGTTTCTTAATCGTTGCTCCTTCAAAGTTGCCTCAAGTCTTTGTTTTCCAGAGTAATTTCAGCCAGTGATAAGCTGTCTTGTAGCCAGTGAACTTATATTAACTTGTAGCCATGTCTTAGTGGCTGCATCCCCCTCACAATGTTTTCCAAGAATCCTCACACTGATGTTTCAGAACTTCAAGCCAAAACTTGCATTATGAAAAATACAACTGCCCTGTCAGCTGTGAAATTATTCTTTACAAAAAAGCATCTTTATGCCTAACCTTTGACTCTGAAGTATACCAAAAAGATATGATTACACTGTGGGTATATGTAATAACTAAAGAAGCATATCAAACAGGTGCAATTCCCTCCTATCTTGTTTACTTTCTCATTTACTGCAGTTCGCAATCAAGTTTTGTCAGAAAATGGCTGTTCTAAGTTTTCCTTAATTACTTGTTTTGTAGTTGTATGTACCTAAGCTTGAGTGGCTTTGTGAAAATCAAGGCAAGTTCTTGGCCATTGTTCATTTGGAAGATCCAGAGGAAGAACTAACTGAGGAGGTATTACACCCGCTTTCAGTGTTACACGCGTAGGCGACATCTTTTGACATGCTGTGTAAACGCTGAAAGACCGTTCAACTGTGAAACTGGGAATTTTTCTGGTTATTAGCGGAACAAATGAGAAATAAATGATAATTACTGACCTAAAATGAATGAAAGAGATCATGGACTTTGCATGTTTCCCGATTTACAGAATAATTCAAACGATTTTAGTGTAGTCGATTGGCTCTCAATGGTGACTTCGGTAGAATTGGGCTGCTACCGCTCTGTTAATATGCGAAAGTTGTAAACATTTAAAACAGTCTATGTATCTCTTATAGAATGTTTTCTTGATACTCCTAGCCTTAGTTTGATGTGAAAAATATCTATCATTCATGACTAAAAGTCGAGTTCGACTGTAAAGAAGTCATTTGTGCTTACATAAAGTAAACTAAAACTTGCCCAGGCTGGGCAAAATTTGAGAGCTAGTTGTCTGAAGGGCAAGCTGGAAGTTTTTTTTCAAGCCCCGCAGGGTTGATTGATAATTATTATCAAAAGTTAATCAGTGTTTTAGTCATTTATGCAGGAAACATAGTGAGGTACAAGATTGGCATTGCTTCCAACTAACAGGATTTGCGACATTCAAAGTACATTCATTTTAATGATGGTCTTTGTCTCAGGAGTTGGCTGTGAAACTTCAAACACGAAGTAAGCAAATAAGGGACAGCAAAGTCTTTGTTGCATTCTTGGGTGGAAAATCAAACAGGTACGACAATCTTATTTTGAAGTTACTTACATTGAAATCCATATTTTCCATTGCTTTCAATAAGAGCTAGGCACTTGATGGAGCTTTGGCAGTTCTGTCATGAATTGCTGCTTAGGATCGCAGCTTTCAAAATTTTGCCTTCTAGTGGAAATATGGGATATACAATAGTTGTATGTGGGATGTGTCAAAATGTCGCCAAAGTCTAGCTGTAGAGGAAGTTGTTATGGGCGTCTAACTTTCTATAAGTGAATAAAGGAACATTACAAAGTTAACTGTACAGTCATGTGAAAGAAATAATAAATTAATGGTATTTGGTGAGGAGAAATACATTTTACATGTAGCATAGCATAATTCAATTACAAGAGGTAAGTGGAAAGGGAAAAATCTAGTTTGATACTGGAGGTATTGAAGAAAACAGCTGCTAGATCTAAAATAGCAGGAAGTAAAGGTTTATGGTTTACAATCAGATATTGAGCTAGATGTTCAAATAGTAGATATTTTATGTCATCCAACAGATAAGTCCCACTGTCTAGCCAATAGGAGGTGACAAAAGAAACCATGCCATGCCATAATAAGCAGATGTTTTTTTAATTTTACATATTAATCTTCAGATTTACTTATGAAGAATATCACCAAGCACATTTGAGCAGCCCTGGAAGATGTCATGCCATCTTCTGTTTTAAAGATCCGGACTGGGATAGGTGAGTTTGAAATTAGCTGATAAGGTAAAAAAAGGAATAGTTTTTGTGTAATGCAAATCCTGTGCAAGTGGCCTACGCAAGAATGGCCAGCAGCAAAAAAAATTGAATGCCTGGGAGACATTAGGTTTTGCAGCCCCCAGGTGCTTGAGGTACAGTGTACGTACTTGCTGGACAAATGGTGCTTGCCCAGGATGAGGATGCATAAAATACAGTAGTTTTTAACCCTGACATCTCTTAAGTACCCAAACAACAAACACGAACTTATTATTCAGTATGGTCTTGCTATTGAATTTAAATTAACTCTGATCTTAAACTAAAAAAAGACCAGTCGTTCTCAACTGATAACTAAACCAATATTTTTTTGACTCAGTTCACTGGGTACTACATGCATAAAATACTAAAAATATTGGGAGGAAAGTCCACTTATCAGAACAGTGAGGTGGGGGGCCTTGTGGCAAAGAAAAAAATAACTTTTACATGGTGGGCTGGAGAGGGTATAGACTGTTGGACAAATGTTGCTGAGTTTGAGTAACACCACATTAGGAACCCATAGCCTCACATTGATAACAGAAATCTTTTGTCAAGAAGCATAACCATGAGACTAAGGGTTTCTTATGTATTATTTAATAACTTTGGCGCCATTTACACAATCAGTCTACTATATTGACTAAGGAACTTCTGCTCATGTTTCCAGACAAAGGATTATCAGGGAGAAGACATTGAGTTGATTCATTGGTTACACCAGTTTTCGGCATTTGTGAGAGAAGCTTCATTAGGGACATAAGTAATACATGTTTTTATGCTTTTGTAATCACCAGCAATCCATCTCTGAAGGATGAAAGTATTTCTCATGCTGAACAATTGAAGACAGAAATCAGAAAAACAAATGGCATGAAGGTAATTGGGGTTGCCACCAGTCAGGAAATGGTTAGGGGTTAAAAAAATCTTCAAGTCATATATCAAACACAAGAGACAGTGTTTCATCAGGATGTCCAAACACAGAGAAGAGAGTTCAAAATACGATGCGCAGCAAACTATTTTTGACAAAATTCGAGGTGTTTGGATAGCTAATGACACACGTCTCTAGTGTTTGATATATCTTCTCAATCAAAACAAAAACTAGGGAATAAACAGAAGTAAATTCGTCAAAATCTATGCTAATTAAGACCAGGTCTCCAAACCTCCTTCACAGTTGTGATTTTCTTTGTTTTAACATGATGAACTATAAATGAGTTTGAAAAGTTCAAGGAAAAGTCAGGGAATTTTATTTTGAGTCTGCAAAACTTGAAATGAGTTTTCATGGCTGAAATTTAATACCATTGAAGGCTAGAAGAAACATTTGGGTCGCTGTGATCTCAACAATGCTTTTCCTTAATGAAGAGGGAAAATTTATTGAGAACTTATCAGTCTGAATGAACGAGCCCCTGTTATGTCTGGCATTTTGTATTTATAATTATGGTCAGAGAATTTATCTTTATCTGAGAAAAGTCAGGGAATTTTGATAAGTGATGTCTACATGTAGCAACTATGTATAGAGTTTGTGGTACACTGTGCTGCAAAGTAATTGCGTTTTTTAAAAATAGAATTAAGGTCAAAACTTGTTGTGATTTTTTTTTTTTCTGTAGCTGTTTGACAATTATGAAACATCAGAGAAAGGAGCAGAGCTGGCCTATCAGGAACTAAAAACATTCTTAGTTAAGGTAAACAAGCAAATTGTCTTGAGATCAGAGCACAAATAGAGGTGTGAGGCTTGACTTCCTGATCCAAAGTGCTTACTGGTCCTCCAGTTAAGGGGTGGTGAATGGTCCTTCAAAGCCGTGGGTCTCACAAAATTTTCATTGAATTTATCATATCTTAAATTCTCGTTATTGTATCGGTTATGTCTGTCGTACCATCTGCAAAGAAAAATGCTATTCTTGCCTTCTCGCAAAGTCTCGCATTTACCATTCACCACTCCTCAGTTACCATTATAGTCAAAGTTCTTTTTATAGACTCCCATAGGCTGACACCACTTGTGGGCAAACACTTCCTCTTTGTCATAGCCACTGCTTGTACACTTAAGGTCAGCACACACGAGGGGAGGAGTCCCTGCGACTAGTCCCTGCTGCTGGTCCCTTGAAGAGTTTACATGAAGGGACTGGTCGCAGGGACTTGTCCCACATACAATTTACACGAAGCGTTTTGAGGAACAAGTCGTAGGGACCACAGTTGGTCCCTGCGACTAGATTTTGAAGCAAAAATGGCCAGTTCACAGGATGGGACTTGTCCCTGCGACTTGTTGCAGGGACTAGTTGCAGTGACTAGTCCCCTCATGTGCGCCAACCTTAACTGGCCAGCCCAGCTGTGTCCGCTTGTGGAAGGTTCAACAATATGTGAACAAGACTTAATCTGTCTTGGGCTTTATCAACCAGAATTGTATTAAATGTTGCCCTTTTCTTCAGGAGCTTGGCTTATCAGATGACTATTCCTCGGCAAGAGACTCATGTGATTGTTGTATATGGGATGTGTCAGATGACTGGGAACAAGTAGAAGCATTAAAAGCAGCTGCAGAGTGCTCCTGTGAAATAGGACTCAGTAAAGTAAGTATGCTTTGATATTTTGGAGGGATAATCTAGTGACTTGCAGAAAGATGTTAGACCAGCGCTTAACTGGACAGCTTGTGTAGCATTAGACTGTAATAGCATTTGCACTCATGCCTGGAGGATGCTAGTCCATTGCAGGGTTACACCCAACATTTATCATGCAGCAACTCATGCATTCCAGGCATGGACCCATACCATTTTCCACTGTTGTATGGAAATTGGTCAGATATTCAGAATGGCTCAATAAAAGGAAAGGGGACTTAGGGAGTTAAAATCCAAAACATTTCCTGGCAGGGACCCTTCTTCTGCGGCACTTGTTGTTTTAGAAATCAGTCAACATTCATCCTAGATCCATGCCTGTATTCCTTTGGTTGGAGAGGGGCTTTGCAAGAGTAAGGTGTTTTAACAAGAACACAGTACAATGACTTAGCGGGTGTGTGAACCCAGACTGATTGATGCAGAATCCATAATAGTACTTGTTAGGCCACCAAACCCCTCCCATCTAATACTTGTAAGTGTTGTGACCTGAAGAACAGCCATTGTGTAATTCATTACTTGTTCTTTATATTATTTGACAGTTCTACAGTGACCTCAATGAACATGTATCAAGTGCAGGACTCAAAGCTCCCATGGTTGTCAAGGGAGATGCTGGCCTTGGAAAATCACTTCTGCTGGCAAAATGGTTGGTAACTAGGGACTGAGTGTTATACATCAAATTTATTTTATCACCCAGCCAGCTGGCCGGCTGGTTGGCTAAGTGGCCAGCTGACTGACTGACTGACTGACAGACTGACAGACAGACAGATCAACAGACTGATTTAATACTGTCAAAAAACACTACCCTGTATGTTACATATGAACATAATTTTGCTAAAGTTCTGTTGCTGGACAGCAATACTGCTTGCTTTAAAGATTCCCAGTACCCTTTCATTATACCATTAGGTACGGTGGCTTTATGGTTAGCTGAGGCATTGGACTCTGTATTGAGAAGTGTACATTCGAAGGTTCCTGACTAGGTCATCGTCACGTTTGCTTAGGCAAGATTCTTTACTTGCACAGTGGCTTTCCACACCATGCAGAGTAAAAATAATGTGATCCAGCAAACTGTTGACAGAGTCAACCTGACAGAATGCGTGGAAGTAACCTGTCGTGAACTAGCATCACATCCCGGGGGAGTAACAGTACTCCTAGCTACTTCATACTTCAGAAACATGAGCTGAGTATGGGAGCCTTTGANTACTCTGTAAAAAGCTGGTCCTCTTAAGGTTAATAGGAACACAAAAATGAGGAACACTCGATCCCAGAGGAACGTTCCTTTACAAATATCGGAACAGCCGAAAAAACTTAAAATTTGTGAAAAATAAACCAACAAGTTCAGCTTTAAAGCTAAAAAAGCATCTATTAAACGTTTAGGTAAAATAGAACCAAGCTTCAAAATCTAGAGCACTTTGATGTTCTCGAAGGCAGTAAAATAAACCCTGTAAAAATTTTGGGAAATGTGGAGGATAATACATATATAAAAATATATGAATTATAAAAGAGTATGATATAAAAATATATAGTTTAAAAGTCTATTGATTCTTAAATAGGTTATTCCCGACAATTGTCAGTTTTTCTTAGTCACATAAAATGCCAAGAGCAGTAATTTGTCTTAGCATGTTATGTGACTCCGAAAAAGTGTAATCATGTGTCAGGAAAATGCATTTATCTGATATATTGTAAGGTCTCATGTATTTATCAAACCTGGTTATACTTACCCTGGGTACCCAAAGAATTTTTCCCAGGGTCAGAGAGAATGCAGCACTTTGTTTACTAGTGAAGCCTTTTTTTGGACCTTGGAACAATATTCCTCTGGTACCCATGGTAGGTTATATTTGACCATGTTGATCACATATGGTCATAACCCATTCCTGAAATTGGTCGCACCGTATCAAGTATCGTTCCATTTTCTTCTGGGCTTTTCTCGTTTTTTAACATTAACATTGCTTTAGATAACATTGGGATCTTAATGGTTATTTGATGTTTTGTTTGTAGAACACCATTGATCTTCTATGTCACATTCTAAACCGTATTAAGATTCAGTTCGGTCATCTTTCGTCTGAACGGAAACTTAGAAAGGTGTGTATTCAAATCCGTAATTNTATTCCCGACAATTGTCAGTTTTTCTTAGTCACATAAAATGCTAAGAGCAGTAATTTGTCTTAGCATGTTATGTGACTCCGAAAAAGTGCAATCATGTGTCAGGAAAATATTTGATGTATTGTAAGGTCTCGTGTATTTATCAAACCTGGTTATACTTACCCTGGGTACCCGAGGAATTTTTCCCAAGGTCAGAGAGACTGCAGCACTTTGTTTACTAGTGAGGCCTTCTTTTAGACCTTGGAACAATATTCCTCTGGTACGCATGGTAGGTTATATTTGATCATTTCGATCACATACATGTGTATGGTCATAACTCATAATTTCCTGAAGTTGGTTGCACCTTATCAAGTATTATTCCATTTTCTTCTGGGCTTTTCTCATTTTTTAACATTAACATTGCTTTAGATAACATTGGGATCTTACTGGTTGTTTGATGTTGTGTTTGTAGAACACCGTTGACCTTCTGTGTCACATTCTAAACCGTATTAAGACTCAGTTTGGTCATCTTTCGTCTGAACAGAAACTTAGAAAGGTGTGTATTCAAATCTGTAATTCCCAAGTGGTTGTTAGTTGAAGCAATAAATCGCAGATATATGTGGTATAATTGCTGTAATTAGTT